TCTCATCTAGATAAACAAAATAATTTGTTGAAAAAAAATTATTTCTGTAAAGTGCAACTTCATGAAGTTTGTCAGTCCACAGAGAAAACTATCAAAAAGAAAAGACTGAGCAAGAAAATACCATAAAAATAGTTATGACATTATATTTAAACAAAAACAATACGTTTTTACTTGCAAAATAGCTTTATACTGAGAGAACACACACACACACAAGCCCACACATGCCATAAACCTCTATTACAAACTAATAAACCTCTAATACAACCTTTTTTTTTTTTTTTAATAAAAGGCATAAATAGATCAAAGTTGCTTGTTGTTGAATTTCTTAGCAAGTGCTAACTCTGGCCCCAACTCTGCAAACTAATAAAATGCATGCTTAGAGCCTTTTTTAAAGTGCAGTCTCAGCATTTAGCATTATCTTTGCTAATTTGGTTAATATTTTCCCTGAAAACAGATCTTTTAAGATTAAAATACCTAAGAAGGTACTATAGCCAAACTAGTTTAGACTGCTTGCTCCTTTCTTTTTCAACAAGCACCAGTCTCAGAAGAGAAATATTTAAAGCAAGCAAATACAGAAAAAAGACATTCTTTTCCTTCTCTATGCTTTTTCAGAAAAACATGTATGATGCAGGTTCTACTATCCAAAGCATGTTTTCATTCCAGATTTTATAGGTCCGTCATTAAATCTTGATCCGTATCTAAACTGCTAAGAACTAGCACCATCTAAGCCCTCAAGCAATACACTTATATCAGTGCTGGGAGTTACAATCTTTGCTGAACACTGCATGGTTTGGAGATCACGTCACTGTTTCTGTGGGTACCGTTCAACATTTAATTTTACCTCAGGTACTGCCTGCACACCTGACGCTTAGGGCTGAGCACAGCTGGGGGTTGGAATAAGGTTTTGGAATGACGGCTACGGAAAGGTGCGGAGTCACCGGCTGGGGCCACTGAAAGGCCCAGCTGTAGTTTTAGTGCAGAAACTGGTTACCTGGCGATTTTCATTACTAGAGATGGTATTTCATAAAGGTATGGGTGGAGATCTTCAGCCTTTGAGGAATCCTGTGTAGTTGGTGCTAGCAGCAGCCTATGGCCACGGCTTCTACGTAGTTGCAGGACATGTGCTGCATTCCTGGCTGTATTTATAGCAAGGCATGTGGTTCAAATCAGGGTCCAGCTTTTGCAGCCCTGGTGTCACAGAGAGGTCAAAGCAAGTTCTGCACAGCTCAGTGATCTAAACTGAGGACTGCTGATCTAAACTGAGGACTGCTATTACATAAGAACAAAAATGGATTTTTACGATGTAGACTGGTCACCTGGTAATGGGTATGGTTCTGAATTATGAATTATAGTTCTGATATGGTTCAGATTTTCTAAACGTTGACACTGGACAGGGACTCAAAATGAGGACCTGCATCATTATGGTACATTAATTTACACTAAGTTGTTGTGCACATGATGCCTATATTTACAGCCAGGGTAAAATGGGGTTTGTTATACAGATTGGAAAGACTATGTGTTTGATGGACTCTGCACAGTTGAGGGGCTGAGAAACAAAGTTTGCCTCAGCCTGAGTTCACAGCTGATGTTTCACTGTAGCATGGACACTGCTCCCCAGACAGGACCTTTTAATAAGATTAAAGTTTCAGAGCCTTGGGAGGGCCTAACCCCGGGTGAGCATCACTGCCATGCAGTCTACTCACCTCTCAGTAATTATGAGCAAATTAAGATTTTGAAACCTTTGTGTTTGATAGCATCAATTTTCCAGGGATTCACCTTTAGGAACCAAGGTTTAAGGTTGACAGATGGCCAAGAACTGTCCATAAATCTATCTTTTAACATAGGTAATGGTCACTTGGAAATATTTATGGCTAGGCTTGGGGTGGGCTCAGGATTAAGGAGGATACACTGGAGAACACAAGCGTGTGTTTGCCTCTGCATAGCTCAGGGTCAAGAACCAGAGCTGCTGTCATCCCTGCTCCTATATGAATACTCATTTTGGGTGCATTGGCAATGTTTAAAATGTTTCAAAATGAAATATTCAAGAGCCCCAAAGACTTGGACTTTGCCTAACCTAGTGGTCAAGGATGACTTGTGTATTAACATCAATTATTCTACGAGAACTTCCTCACTGCAATCTTTAGAAAAATCCTTCATATTTGTACTTGAAAATATCTCATATGAAATTCAGTTTTATAAAACAACATATTGCTGAATTATTTCAATAGTATTGGGGTTCTTCTTTCCATTTACAAAGTGGCCAATGGATCTAGATGGCTAGTCAAAAGATCACCACATAAACATGTGCACACTTCTGTGCAATATCTTTTCAGTCAAGCAGCAGAAATTATAAACAGGATTTCTGTAATCTAGAGATCAATCTGCGTGTCCAACCACCTCCCTCACAAGCTGTTATTTAACTGCCTCTCCTGCCTCTCCTTCAGTTTGGATTGTAAATCCTGGCACAGAAATCTACACAGAAAACTACACAGTTACAAAAGCACAAACACTAAGGCACAGATCCTTTTACCATTGTAGAAGATACTTTTCTCTATGGGTTCCATGAACTCCATGTCAAGAACTCGTTCAAGAAGCAACTTATCTTTTACAATATAATCCATTTCTTTATGAACCTATATGAAAAGAAAAGACTTCTGGTTTTAAGATTTCAAAGGAACAATACTTGTTACAATGGTGGAGCACAGATCCACCATTTAGAATTAAAAAAGAAAAAAAAGGTCTATTCTAAGTGAATAACAAAAAAGCATTTGTTGTTGTAAGAGCAGGCTGTACTGCTGGACAGTATTCTTTTTTTAATCTTGAACTAACCCGTGTTCTAGTTGCATAAAGTCTTTAATAAGAAATCTTTAAGTACCTATGCTTAAAGAAAAATTACAGTCTTTCGGAGTAACAATTTTTCATCTCTACTTATTAAATTTTCCTAAATATATACATGTCAATATACATACGTGATCAATAAATGAACCTAGAAATTTGTTCATGGTGTTGTACGCCTTTGTGTTCTGTTCAAAAGTATTTGCAGATGAGTCCAAAAGTCTAGCAGGACCACGTTTCTGAAACACAACACGACCAGGACTTCAGTGGAAAAAAAACACACATTAGTTAACATTTACAGAATACAAGTATCTCACTTACCCTTGTTAGGGTTTCATGAATCCTGTCATATTGCAGTCTCATTTTTCTTGAAATGGAAATCTGAAATGTCTGGACATCTGTATTTGGTAACAAACCCCTCTGGCTACACAGATTCTCCTATAATTGTAAATTAACATTATTAATATCATTCACCTATAGATCAGCAAAGTCAAGACTTTCATTTCTCTTTCATGTACATATACTGCTTTATATCTTTAAGCACTTAAATCCACTGCACTCTTAGAGCAAGGTTTCCTTAGGACATGAAATCCTGACCCCTGCTGTCACAAAGCCATATTCTTCTTTTCATTTATATTCAGTTTATTACATTCTAAAATACCTTTTGACATGCACTCTCAGGCCATTTGTTTTGTACTCATATTTTATTTTGTATTTTTTCTGCTTTGTTTAATGCTTTGTATTTTTGACTTTTTCCATGACTTTCTCAAAATGTACTTAATAAATCTCAAAAATCCAATAAAATACAAAACTTCAATATTTCCAGAGGTAAAACATGTTTTTTTTTTCCCCTAAATTTCACTAGAATAAAATATAGGGAAAAAAAATAGGAAAAAGAAGAACAAACAAGCAATAGTATTTAAAATACTCTTTTGCAGTTCAGTGTTTGAGATTTAGTTTTTACATGCTTATTGTTTTTTTCTGGTCAGGTATCACTAAATTATTGATATCTTTATCTAGGATATTTCCTTCTTACTTGTTCTACAACGATGCAAGATAACATATTTAGTGCAGGCTGCTCCAACATTGTATTAGATGTTATATATTTATGTAATCTTGCAGCAAAGATACAAGGTATGACAAACTAAAAAAATCATTACTCAAATTGTTGACTGTAAAGCATAGTTATGTCACCAGAGAGGTACAAAAATTTATTATAGAAGTAGATATTTGGTAGGGGGGTTTCACTGCATGAAAGCCCCTTAGAATGCCATGTCATCACGAGCCTATGGAAGGCTTCAGTATGCAAAAGATGATATATATACACAAGAGAAAAAATGTATTAGAAAAACAGGAATTTGTCACCTACGACATCAGAAGGAGAGACAGTGAGGAAGAAAGGAGGAGAACTAATTGCAAGAAGAATTAATAAGTCACTTGTTTACAGAACATCAGCTGGTATTTTTTTTTTTTAAATGGTGACTTGGTGCAACAAAATGCAAAAGCACAACCACCTGATGCAGAGTTTTTTATGAATAATTAGAACAGATGTAAATTTTACTACTTTTACTTACTGCTTCTCTCTTTAGGTTCATACTCATTTCTTCCATATTGGTATCTGCATGTCCATGCACAGAGCGACCATGGATATAATAACCAAAGCAGCTGTGTGACAGGAGAAACACTGAAATCTAGAAGGAATAGAAGAATACTTATTTAAAACAGTATCTTTTTATTTTTGAACTTCTGAATCCACAGTGGAGATCAACAAGAGCAGACATACAACATATACAATGTAGGCAGGTATCAAAATACATAAGACAGAAAAACATTTGCTAACTCTTTCACATATAAGCTGAATCTATGTTTTACTAGAGACCAACCAGTTTCAGGTTTAGTTCTGAAAGGATCACTATTAATTCCATGATGTTGAAAAATTAAAACACATCTATGATTCTAGAATCTTTTTCTGAATGAAGCGAGTCAAAAAAAATGACTTTGGGTATTAGCTAGTGATCTCTGATTAAATTAAACCCTATTTAATATTTTTAAACCATCTTGCATAATATCCTATTCAACAGAATCCCGTGTAACAGAAGTTACATCAAGAAGTACTTACATTGCTCATGCAGCACAAATCAATAAATTGTGTAATCTTATCTTCCACAAATCTTTCATAAAACACAGCAAAATATATAGTCTGAAATAAACCAACCATATTTTACTTCATTAGTTCCCCAGACTTGGCTTTATTCTGAATTATAAAGCAGTTAACTTCAAAGCTTAGCAGCCATGTTACAGATTTCAGTAGTGACCATCTTTGCACTAGCCCCCAGAAATGGGATTAACACCCTTCCCCTACTAAGTAGAATTCTAGCAAGAACCTGTTTTTCGTTCTGAACTTGGTGTGGCTTCAAGGGTGTCTGAAGCAAAATAAAGTAGTTCCTAAGTGCTTCTTTAGGGGACTGAAGATAGCGAGTAGAAAGTGAGATCTTTCATAACTTAGAACATTCATTTTGAGTTGTTATGTGCCACTGCACCAGCTGGGAGTTAGAAGCTAGAAGTCTAGAACCAGCAAAGGAGGTAAGAACATGCTTAGTGCTACGTGGGGTAGAGCTGGTGGCATAAGGATATATTCCAGCTGCAGAATATCAGCCCTGCCCTGGTAATTCACCATCTCGTTACAAACCTGCAGGAAGGCAACGGCTAACCAGAGCGCAGCGGAGACACCGAACCTCAAAACGCGGCTCCAGGGAGCCATGTAGCTCTCGCCGCTCCTTGTAAGACTGGAAGAAGAATCCATCAAAGCCAGGTTGGAAAATCCCACCACCTAAAGAAACATGGAGTTTAATTTAGAAACACAGGGGCAACGAATAGAATTACTTATGATTCCCTGGTTTCCATTGTAACAGAAACCATAAGAAAAATAGAGCTGAGAAGAGTAGCATGCTTGTTATTTAATTTTATTTATAGTTAATTTATAGATTTTATTTAATGGAGTCTAATCGTGTGATCCAGCATTATTATTTAGAAGAGCATATATTGTATGTATGTAAGCATGATATCAAAACACACACATAAAGGCAAAACTCAGGACAAGTCCACACAATTACACAGATAAACTGTAAAATTCTACAGGTAAACTGCATAGGAATTTTACTTCTGCTGGATTTCAGCTTCCTGGTTCTGTATCTTCCTGGGCTGAAACATATTTTTGACCTTTCAAATGTAAGAAACTGAGGTCTTGCTTTTATCAAATGGAAATATATTTTTCTCTACTGTTCATACAGCTAAAACTATTCTAAACAGTTAAAAAAAAAGAAAAATCAAAATGATAAGAGAAAAAAATAGGTCTTGAAACATTGATCCTTATATGTGAAAATTTTAAGAAAATCTCCCTTTAGCAATAACTAAAGCACTGCCTTATGACATCAAGAAGAGAACTAGCAGATTTCATTTCCTGCTTTATAAAAGATCAAAATTAGCAGGATGGAAGCTCCAGTTCAGGTAACATAAGCATGGCATAAGGGAGCTAGTAGTCAAATAAAGAATTGAGTGCGTAGACAAATGAATTAGTTCCTTAAGCCAGTTAACATGTTAGCTAAAGAAAGAAAAAAAAAAGAGAAATAAAACAAAGCCAACAAAGATGTCCAAGGAAATTAAAGGTTGGTTGTTTTTTTTAAGTTTGTAATAACAACATCAAAACACGAGCTTATTCTACAAAGTCCCATTTTTTTCAAGGGAACATGTAGGTCCTCTTATTAGCATAAAGACTAACAGAACTAAAAAACAGATTCTGTGTTACATTATGGTTGTGAATTATAAAAAATATTAATAATACCTCCAAAAAAAAAAGAACTGCAAGCACTTGAAAGAGGGGATTTATCTTCCTCACTGTCTGAATTTCATTCCATTCATTGGCTATAAAATATGTCCTCCATATGCTCACAGGTGCAGCAGCACTTTTTATAACACCTTCACCTAAAAACAATAAAAACAATTAAGCTCTGAAATTTAATACCTGAGAGCAACAGCAAAGTTTAATTCATGCTCTGTATACAAGTTTAGTTTGAGTTACCTTCAACTGCTTTAAGAACTTTCCCCTTAGGTCTTTCCCAGTCAATAAAGAAAATGTCTACAGTAAGTTGTGAAACCAATTTATGTAATAATTGCAATGCCTAAGGAAAAAAATGAAGTATAATTTGAGTAAGTAACAGTATATAGGCAAATTAAGTCATTGTAAGCACATGTTCTTCATTAAATACAGTAAAAATACACTAGACTATACCTGACACTGCAACCTTTTTAGTTAACTTTGATACACCTTTAAAAAATAGGTTTGGGACAATTGTAAGTCATATCAAAGATCATGAATGACACAATAATTGGTCAGCTCGATAAAGTTAAAATAATTGTTTACCTCTATACACTGATAACATGCACTGTACAAGATATTTAAAAGAAAAAGTCTAGTGAAAATATAAAGAAGCATGTGTAAATGACTTGAATTCTCAAAGAAAAAAAACATACCTTTAGACTAAAAGCACATCCCACGTATGTAACAAAATCTTCTTCTTGAGATGGAAGTGGTAAAAAGACAGAGACAAACTGCTGAGCCTATAAGTGAGAGGCTATATTGAAACAGCATAGATGGCATATGTAGAAACATATTAAGTGCTTAAGAGTGAAATTCTGTGGAAAATGACCCACAGTTAATCTGTAATGTTTCAAATTTGTAAAATATTTTGTATTACTACTAAGCAGATTGCAAGTGCAAGGAAATATAAAGAAAGTAATAGGCTGAAAATTTAAACACACAGAACATCACGTGTAACTTGCCTCAACAGTCTGACCAGAAGGGCAAAAAAAAAAAAAAAGACAAAAGAAAATGAACTTTTGTTTTAAAATGTACACATTATTAGTAACTATTCATAATTACAAAATCTGAAAAAAGACTTACTTTGAAGAACACAAGCCAATAAATTCCTGTACCCACTGTGATGATAAAGAAAACATTGGCAAGGTCTCCAGCATAGAACAGTAAGAACTTCAAAACTGTCTGTAATTGTAAAAGAACATGGTTCAAATCTGTAAAACTTGTTAACTAATGTATATAGTACATTCATATAAAATGCTATGCAGCTCACACTAGTAAACTCTCTTACTGAAAAGAAGCCCCAACAGAATTTTTCTCACATGTTTATATATTTATGATATATTTACTATCTGAAACTCCTATTAGCTGGTCTTTGTTCAAAGGAGAATTATTCTGAAAAATAACAAAGACCATCTCACTGACCGGATTTGCTCTGTTTATAAATATCTGTATTTGTGCCTTTTTAGCAAAACTATTTCCTAAATAACAACAACAGAGGCCAAAAAAAGAAAAAAAAAATTTGGGATCCTAGAACTCCATAGCTCCACGCAGGTAGATTTAAACAACTATAAATTAATTCAGCTACCGTAAGAAACAAAATAATTATACAATATGATAGCCAAGATCTCCATAAAGAAAGGAAAACACGTCCTCACTGAGGTCACCAGCCATTTATACCTGCAAGTCAATCATGGAGCTTCCCGTTCGCCTTTTCCAGCCTGCAGTCCTGAGGAGGGACCACAAAACTGCAAGTCCACCCAGCACACCCAATGCAATCTGAGCAGAATGAAAAATTATTTGTAGATATTTTTAAAGGGACAAACGTAAGCAAATCATACATCAACACATTAAAGGACAATTACTTACATCAGTCTGAACCTGAGCCTCTGACTGATTCATCTCATAAATGACCGAGAAGGAAACCTGAATATTAAAATATGAAAAGTAAATATGTGTAGAAATTCTGAAATGCTACAGTGATTACAGTCAGTGGTGTTTTACTGCTTTTTATTTGGTGCCAATCCCCATCTAGGGCTACTGCAGAGTGCAGTGTATGCCCACTCCAGTGCACACTACAGCACCAGACTTAGTGCTGCCAGGTGCTCTGCTCAAGGTAGGAGGGAACTGAAACCCACACAGGTTTTACCAGGGATAATGCTGGGAATGGACCTCTGCCCTGCCCACGTTAGGAGCTACACTTCATTATAATCCTTACAATTCATAGAATCATAGAATGCTCAAGGTTGGAAGGGACCTCTAGAGATCATCTAGTCCAACCCCCCTGCACACGCAGGGTCACCTAGAGCACGTGGCACAGGACTGCGTCCAAGCGGGTTTTGAAGATCTCCAGAGAAGGAGACTCCACAACCTCTCTGGGCAGCCTGTTCCAGGGCTCTGGCACCCTCACTGTTAAAAATTTTTTCCTTAAGTTCTTGTGGAACTTTTGATGCTTCAGTTTCCGGCTGTTTCCTCTAGTTCTGTCGGTGGCCACCACTGAAAAGAGGCCAGCACCATCCTCCTCACTGCCTCCCCTGAGGTACTTACAGTTGGGCAGACTTTTCAATGTTTTTTTGCAGTAACTTCCAGTAAATAATTACACTAATTTTTTGATGAAAACACTGCTACTTGCAGATCACTGCACAAAGACCATTTCTTCCTGGTTATTTTCTACGCACATATTTTTAAATCTGCATTCTGGTCTAACTTATCATTACACCACTGACTGTAAAATTCTAGATATTTTAACTTAAGAAGGACTCAAATAAGATGCATTTAAAAGAAAATACTTTGACAACTTTGCTTTAAATGCTTTAAGTTGTAGTGAAAATTTGCAACCTCTAAATTCTGTAGAACTAGAAACTACTTATTTCATTTCACATTAAGAAAATCAATTCTCTTAACTAGAATTCTAACAGAACTAAAAGCACCATGAAAAATTCTGATCAATTAAAAATAGCACAAAAACCTCACCATCACACTCTGGGTGTCAGGGTTTTGGATAAGCACATCCGTGTAAGCAACTGTAATTAGAGGTGGGTAGATAGTTCCCCTCTGAGTGGGCGTTGCCAGACGAACACTGCAGAAATAAAACCGGAATATTATATTTAACCCCCAAAATGGATGAGCTGCTTGGAAAGTATTGATTGAAGCTTGTACAAACAGGAAAATACTAAACAACAAAACAATGTAATTGATAAAATCTGAGTTACAAACCAAACGATGTGGCAATTCATATTTTAAAGTGACTGGACTATAAAAGGCATAAATAAAAATACATAAAGGAAAATGTAGAGAGAATTATTCATTTTAAGTAAATATCTTAAATCACGCTTTATATTTCACATGACAATAGCTGCAACTGAAGTTAATTCTAAAAGTTGCTTTTTCTCAAAATATTACAGAATTACCTTTACTATGTTTATTTTGAATTTCTGGCATTCTTTTTTTCAAGGGGTTCTCCTAGCACACTTGATTGATCCTTATTTTTTGAAATAATGTAACAGGTAATTCTCAACAAGTAGACCTAGTACATTAAATAAATCCTAGAGATGATTATCTATATGGCCCAGGAGTTCTTGCAACTCATAACTAATATATTGTGAAGAAGTGCAGTAAGTACAAGAGGGACCTCAACTTTGTTTAGACAATCATCTCTGAAAAATGCATTTACACTACCAAGGAAAATGGTTCTTCCAAAATATGTTCTAACTGAGATAAAGAAACAGTAATGACTCTAAGAGGTAGTCTCACAAGTGCAGTTATACAACTACAAGACTATTAAATGGTAGGACAGCATTTGTAAGCAATAACATGTAAAAATACTGCAAAAGAAGAATATGGAGCATGAAATAACATGCCCCCATAGTTAGCAACAGACTTATTGGAAAGAGGAGACCTTAGGTCTTAGAAGTCACCTGCTTCCAAAAGGTGCCTGCTAACTTTTATGCACACACAGTCCTCTTGAATGGGAAGTAACTACAGCAATTTAAAATCCCTCAAATCAAGGTTATGTATTTTCAATTAACCATCAAAACAACCTGCTCTTGCTATTTCTAGGTATGCAATAAAAAAGGAGCACAGAATGTATTAGAAACAGCACAATAACACAACTTTCCTTTAAGATGCAATAAAATGCAGATTAAACAAGATTGACTTTATTTTATCTGTATCACCATACTTGGTATGCATTTATTTACCTTATTGTTATTTTGCTAGCAATTCGAATTATTCTTGGCAATTTTCCCAAGTCATTATCTTTTCCACTTAGTGCATCCACCAAAAAAAATCGACGCGTCAAAAGCCAGTTATTCATATTGCTGCCTTTGAAAAAATATGGTAGAGTCATGCAATATTTAAAAAACTGTAAATTCAGAACCAAAAGGAAAAACTCTACTAAAAGTGATCAATATTACATAAATACTCTTTAAAGATTATATACTAAATATTCTTACCTTGGTTCACAAACATTTCATTGTATTGAAGATTCAAGTTTAAAACTGGCACATCCCAAAGATATTGCTGTCCCTCATCATCATTATATTGAAGGAATATGTCATAAAAGATCGGATTAGCATAATCCACTAAAATCTTTGAAATTGAAATTTTGCACTGCAGGAAAAAAATAATAGAATAAAAAGTTGCAGATTCTTCCCCTATAAATACACTGTAACACCTGTCCCACATACTTTGTAAATGACAAAGCATCCCAGCTATGTCTAAACTGGAATAATTAGTCCTTATACTATACAAACCTCTTGGAAAATACCACAATTGACCAGAACGACTAATACAGAATTTAAATTTGCTATTATTTTCAATAGATTAGGAAAACATATGCTAGGAAACTTCAGAGACATAAAATTTGAAACAGGATAAACACTAACGTCAAGAAATTAGAAAGGAAGTTGAATGGGTTTTGCATGTTTCAGGTTATGCAATCCTTCAACAGTCATATGACATTTCAATTGCCCTTTCCTCAAGGCTGTAAGGGAAAAAAAAAGTGAGGTACATAGTGCATGAAAATAATTAAATTAAAAAAAACAGTAAATTAATATCTACAGATGTTGATTTTAAACCCAGTAACAACAAATGCTGTTAATACTTACCTATTTGTTCTACACATCAATACAGTAAAAACAAAAGTCTTGGGGGAAAAAACAAAACACAACAAAAAAGACTAACCAAATGAAACAGTTCAATGATTCAAAGAGAAAATAAATTTTTGTTTTGTCTGCAGTACTTAAATATGGACTAAAGAATTTTAACACATACTACAATAAATACTTAAAGAATAAAAATATTTAAACAAATACTTGTTAAAATTATTTAAAAGAACAGTGCACTTTACAAGGACTAAAGCTTTGGCAACTACTACACTACTTGGCTTTCACAACATCCAAACAGCAGCTGAGTAAATGTATTTTTACAATGCAACATTTAACTCGGGGGAAGGGTTTTGAATGTAAACATGCTAATAAGTAATGTTAATGGATAAATAAATAGGTATTAGATGCTGTGCACACATGCAGAGTGTAGGGAGTCTTATACAAATAAACCAGCTATTCTCTCACGCCGCAACATTCCCCATTTTAACACATAACTGCCAAAACTAAGGAAGCCTTAATGCTGGCATAGCCGTGTCCTTGACTCACTGCCACTGGCATCTAAGTATAAACAAGCTCAAGTTTTACTAGAGCAGGGACAGTTCAAACTGCTCTATCCCCTCTGGCTCTGCTGGCGTTTGGTAAGCACGGCTTCCAATACAACTTTTCCCATAGTAGGATAGTAAAATAATCTCTTCCTCTCCCCTATCATCTGTTGGATTAAAACTTGTAGGAACTTCATTCTTGTGAAGATGTCAATCTCTTTACTGAATTTGCTGAAATTAAGGAATATACTAAAGAGTTAATAGGGATGATTAATAGCTGTGGCAGGATGGATAAGTTTTGTATCTTGTTTCTGCATGAACTTTGGTCAAAGATGAAGACCGGAAAATTCCAAGTTAGAATACAGCATATGACTGTCAGTAGTGAGGTATTACCTAAGATAGGCTGTTGACTTGTTGGAGGAACATAAAGGCCAGGTTCATTTTTTGGCTGTCTGATTAGTAGAAAGTTTTGTGGTTTCTATTTCAATAGCTAACAAGCACATTTATTTCACTCAGTAATTAAGAAACTAGAATAAGCAATAGCCACGCCAAAAAAAAAA